CAAAGGCTGCAGTGAGAACCTTATCTTAGGGACAAGGAATGGTGGGGGCTCAGAGGTCAAATTCAAACTGGGCTCCCTACCACAGCCTACTGGCCCCTCTACCCTGGTGGACATCTGGATGTGCCGCCCCATCTCTTTGAAATACCCTGGTAGTGTTTCTCCACTGCCCCCCAGTCTCTCCTTTACCCTGCTGTAGTCAAAGATTCTCAAAAGGAAATGTGAGTGTGGACCACCTTGGGTAGAGAGGGGAAGTGAGACAGTAGCGGGTTGGTGATGGAGTAAGAAAGTGTGGGGATAGGAAGGGTGTGAGGTGCCCCCAGAAGCTGCAGGTGCACCTCAGAATGGAATTTCAGTGTCCTGACACCCATTTCCCCTTCCTGGGCCCTCGTGCTGGGAGAGAAGCTGGGTGAGGTGTAAAGGTGTGAACCCCTACCTCCCCTCACCCAGAGCCCAGCCCAGGGGCTTTCCACCTCTTTTAGGAGCTCAGATGGCACTGGGATTTCTGGGGGCCACCTGCCACGGCAGCAGCAAAGGCTCAGCACCCTCTGTTTCCTGGGCCCTTAGAAATCACGGAGGCCACTGCCAAGAAATAGCCCTGGCAGGCAGTGGAAGCTGCTAGAGGTGGGGGAGAGCCAGGGAACAAAGGGCAGGAGCCGGCCTGCCTCCGGGGAGGGCTGGAATGTGCACTGTGGTCTGGCTTACCTGGAGCCCAGGTGAGCATGTCACCTGAGCTGCCTTTTCCCCTGAGAAGCCTCCCCACCTACTCTACAGCTTGGGAGCAAGGGGAGGGCAGCCCAGTGCTCAGCCCTGGGATGCTGGAGAGCACCCAGCTCAGGCTCTCCTTCCTCTTCAAAATCTATCCCGGGATCCTTTGAGAGACTACCACCAGACCAGGTGGCCGCAGTGTGTCGGGAGGCTGAGCTGGACTCCTGGGCTCCTAGCTGGCTCCCGTCCTGGCCCTGACCTCTGGGATCACAGGTTGAAGGCAGGGCCAACAGGATGGATGGGCACTTAGGATTGCTGTCATGACTGAAATGGCCCGAGATCCTGCCAGCCCCTGGCCAGGTATGCCCAGGCTCCCCGGCTTCTAGGCTGGTCTTGCTGGCTGCATGGGCCTTGCTAGGGGAGGCCTCTGGCCTTGGCTCTGGGTCAGGGAAGAGCCAAGCCTCCTGGGTTGGAATTGTGGGCCCCATGTGGTGTGTAGGAGGTACAGCTACCTGAACCTTGCCCTGAGGAGCTGGCTTCTGATCTGGACCCCCTTCTGCCTCTTGTCCCTCCAGAAACATGAGCGTGAGCCGGGCCATGGAGGACAGCTGTGAGCTGGACCTGGTGTACGTCACGGAGAGGATCATCGCCGTCTCCTTCCCCAGCACAGCCAACGAGGAGAACTTCCGGAGCAACCTCCGAGAGGTGGCCCAGATGCTCAAGTCCAAACATGGCGGCAGCTACCTGGTGAGGGTGGGGCCCGGTGCCCCCTGTCCTTTCTCCTCGCCACCTCCTTGCTTCTGGTGCCCCCCCGGGCCAACTCCTGCTCTTCCTCTTCCCGTGATTTATGTGCCTCGCTTGTGGCCTGAGTCTGCACTCACTTTCCGGCCCCACTTTGCTGGGAGGAGTGTGTCTGCCGCTGGAATGTGGCATCTGGACCCAAGTCACGTGTGTACACGTGCCTGTGTGTGCGTGTGTATATGTGTGCATTGAGGAATTCATGTTCTCGAGCGCTCCCTATGAGGCAGGCCCTGTTCTAACCGCTCTCCACAGGTTTAACTGCACACTAGCCCCAGAAATCAGGTTTCGCCGGAGTGCGGAGAGGTGGGGTGTCTGCCTCAGGTGACAGCATCCGGAAGTGGCAGAGCTGAGGTCTGAGGGCATGTTGTGGCAACGTGCATCCTACGGGACCTTGTGTGGCTGGCACTGGGGCGGTGCCTGGCCCAGAAGCACCTTACAGACATGGATGAGGTGGTTGGCAGTTCTTCTCTACTCTCAGAGAGCTGGCATGGGGATTGGCCCCAGAGGAGAGCTCAGTTCCATGTTACAAGGAAGCACCTGTGGGGTTGGGCTGGACCCACCAACCAGACGGTGCAGGCTCGAGGCGGGGTGTGGGAGGCCATCTTAGGTCCCTAGGCCTGCTCTAACACATGACCACAAACTGGGGGTCTGGAAACAACGGAATTAATTTTTTTCACAGCTCTGGAGGCTAGAAGTCCAAATCAAGGTGTTGGCAGGGCCATGCCCCTTCCTGGTGTCTGGTGCCTCCCAGCAATCCTTGGTGACCTTGGCTTGTTGCTACATCACTCCCGTCTCTGCCTCTGTCCTCGTGTCTCTCTGTGGCTCCTCTCCTCATCTTATAAGGACACCAGGCATCGGACCTAGGGCCCGCCCTAAATCCAGGATGATCTCATCTTGAGATCCTTAAGTACTTACATCAGCAAAGGCTCTGTTTCCAAATAAGGTCACATTGTGAAGTTCCAGGTGGATATGAATTTTTGTGGGATGCTATGAACCCACCGCGGAGGCCTGTCCATCAGCTGTGTTGGGCATTGTTGAGGGCTCTGGGTTCAGACATCGGAGAGTCCTGGGTTTGAATGCCGGCTCTGCTCTTACCATCTGACTTGGCCACTTCACCTCACTAAACCTTAGGTCCTGCATCTGTAAAATGGGTCTGATTACACCACCTACCTCTTGTGGTGGTTGAGAGAAGTAAGTTGACATGTGAAGTGGAAACTAGAGATGGCCAAATACTTATCAGTTAACAACACTGGGATTCCTGTTTAGGATGCAAAGATGCCCACCTTGTGGGTGGCACGTGGGACCTGAGACAGACTGCATCCCCTTCTCATTTTCAGTCCTGGGCGTCTGTCCGCTCACCAAGGGGAGTGGCCATGTCTACCTACTTCCTTCTCCTCCTCTTTACCCTGAGAACCTATAGTTGAGTTCTTATTGGTCAGTGTGTGTGTGTGTCCGATGGGACACCATTGTAAGCTCTTGCATGGGTAGAATTTTCACCGAGGGGGGCATGGGGGTAGAGGAGACAGAGAGAGAGACAGAGAGACAGACAGAAGACAGCAAGCATTATCTTACAATCTCTTCCTTTCCCTCCTTCTAGCTTTTCAACCTCTCTGAGCGGAGGCCTGACATCACGAAGCTCCACGCCAAGGTGAGCTGATGCTGATCAGGGGTGGGGGCTTCCCGTTGCCTGAAAGGGAAGTAGAACAGCTGGGGTCCCTCTCCCTGTGGTCCCCACTTTAGAATCTGGGGGGAAGTGCTGAGACACTTCACAAAGCCTATTCCGTGTCTGTGTCATCTTCTATTTGGAACAAGGAAAAGCCCGTATTTATTGTTTTTGCAATACAAATTGCAGAGAGCCAAGCTTGATACAGCGATTTCCTACCCAGGTCTGCCCCCCCTGGGGTGCACGTAGTATCTCTGGGGTGAGGCTGGAGCTATGGGATTTCTAGCCTCGTTGAAAAGCACTTTGGATTTAAAGTGGCCTGGGATTGCCAATGACCCGTTCCCACTTGCTGGCTCGGCGGGCTGAGCCCAGGCTTTGTGCGGATGTCTGCTCTGGCGCCTGGATTCTGGTACCTGTTGCTTTGTGACCCTGGGCAGGTGACAGTTCTCTGGGCCTCAGTTTGCACCTCTGAAACAGGACAGGCTAGATTAGATGTACTCTCTCGGCTCTTCCGAGCATGAATTCTCTTTCCGTTTAATGATCTGTGAGTTAAGAAAAGTTTCGAGGAGCCTGAAGCCTGCCATTCGGATCTGCCCTCTGTCCCCTTCAGGCTTCTCTCAGCCAGCCTGAAAAATCAATGGTTTGTGTGTCCGGGCCTGGAAAAGAGCTGTGAACACCTGGGGGCCCTTCACTTTCCCTCTTTGTCCCTGAGCTCGGGCTTGGGGTTGTCTATGGGAGGAGAGTTTGGGAGAAATGCTGGGGGGCACATTTTGAAGTCAGAGTCACGTGGAAGGGACCTTGGGGTCATCAGCTTTACACACATATGGGGAAACTGAGGCCAGGACAGGGGCCATGACTTGCCAGAGCCCCCAGAGCGAGGCAGTGTCAGAGCAGAGACTCAGAGACCCAGGGTCTCTGGTCCTGGGCCAGTGTCCTCTGCGTCCACACCGTCGCCTCCCCTCTGGGCTGATGGGCAGGGCAGGAAGCAAGGTGGGTGGGTGGCTGCTGCCGTAGCACCTGCGTGTGGGGTATGTCCTCGTGTCTCTCTGTGGCTCTTCTCCTCATCTTATAAGGACACCAGGCATCGGACCTAGGGCCTGCCCTAAATCCAGGTCTGGTCGACTCTCTGGGGCTTCTGCCCCTTCTCACTCATGGCTTGGACCACAGGTACTGGAATTTGGCTGGCCTGACCTTCACACCCCAGCCCTGGAGAAGATCTGCAGCGTCTGCAAGGCCATGGACACTTGGCTCAATGCAGACCCTCACAACGTCGTCGTTCTACACAATAAGGTCAGAGCGGGGGGCCGCCTGTGTGCGCGCACATGCATAGATGTGTCCGTGGATGAGTGTGTGTGCCTGACTGTATCATTGGATTATGTGAGCGTGCAAGCCTGTGTGCATTCTCTTCTCTAGGAGATAGTAGATTCTGTCCCAGGGGCCCTGCCCAAGAAATGGGGAGTTACGAGCTCGTGGGGCTGTCAAGTGTAGTGGGTGATCAGCTGTGTTTCTTCTCTTTGAGTCTCAGCCCGACCTGCCTCCCTCCCTTGCATCCCCCTCCCCTGTCCTGTTCTCCTTGAGAACCACAGCCCTCTCTCCAGCCACTGCCCCCTTTTTCCTCCGGGCTTCTGCATGGGCTGACCTTAGAAGTAAAGTCTGTGTTTGGGGTTCTTTTAGGGAAACCGAGGCAGGATCGGCGTTGTCATTGCAGCTTACATGCACTACAGCAACATTTCTGCCAGGTAAGAGCCTGAGTACTGACAGTGGGAACCCCCTCTGCCCATCCCCCAGTGACTGCTCCCTTCCTTGGGATTGAGGGGTGCTGAGGATGGGCAGGAGGAGCCTACAGCTCCGAGGCAGGTGGCTGTGCATGGGGGACGGGAGAAAGGAGAGTCCCCCCCTCTACTGGGAGCACTGGTGGGAGCAGCCTTGGGAGGCAGGCCCATCTAGGGACACCCCATCCAGCCACCTTCTCCGAGCCACTTTTCCTTGGCGAAAGGCCTTCTGTTTCCCTGAGTGAGCTGGAGAGGGAGTCAAAAAGAATGTTGGAGGGCAGATCTGGGTCTGGCAGAACCATCTAGAAGTTATCTCATCCTTGTGGGCTTTGATAAGGACTTTGGGGTTTGGGATGGGATGTCATTGGAGAGTCAAGAACAGAGGGGCTACATCATCTGTCTCTTCTTTTAAAAATGATCTCTTTGCGGATAGATAGAATGTTCTGTAGAGCCTTAGATGGTAGTTTTGTGAGTTTAAGAAACTCAATCTAGCCTAATCTTCCCTTCATGATGAATATTTCCTGTACACCTACTGTGTGCCCACAGCTTTTTATAGATGTTATTTCACTTAATTGCCATAACAACCTTCAAGGAAGGCCCTTGTCACTCACCTTTGACAGGGAGGGAAATCAGGTTCAGAAAGGTTAAATAACCTGATTCAGGACACAAGGCTAATAAGTAAGTGGCAGACTTGCTATGGGAACCCAGGCTGTCTGGCTCCAAAGTCCCCTCCCCGAGTCCTGTAGCACACAAGATGTAGAGATGCTGGGGCACCCTTTTTCTGAAAGCTTCTTAGCATAGGGTGGCTGGAGGGCTCCACAGGTCTAGGGGAGCAGGGGTGGGGAGACAAGGGGCTCTCGGACATAGAAGTTGGCTCCTCTGACCACCCGTCTCTCCCTGCAGTGCTGATCAGGCCCTGGACCGGTTTGCAATGAAGCGGTTCTATGAGGATAAGATTGTGCCAATTGGCCAGCCATCCCAGAGAAGGTGGGTCTCCAGGGCTCACAGCCAGTGCATGCACCTGTGTGTGTGTGTGTGTGTGTGTGTGTGTGCGTGTGCTTGCTATCTTGGGGACTGGCCTTACTCACCCACAGGGGATGGAACAGCCATGCCTAGGTGGGGGTGTACCGAACATGAATATTCCGGTGCCAACCTGGAGTGGTGTGAGCTCAGGGACATGGGTGAACCCATGGGCCGCTGTGTGCACTTACAGGTGGGCATGGCACTTGGCTCCTGAGACCAGTGCTGGAGAGCAGTGGGGATTGGTGGGGGACACATAGGTCTGGGTGCAAGAAGGCAGTTTGTATAAGAAGGCAGTGCTATTTCTTGGTCCTGGAAGCAGGACTGCTTCTGTGCATGGGTGAGCCTTTAGGAGGCTGCTGTCATCGCTACCTGCTCTGGGGAGGTCACAGATTCTTACCATAAGGGTCCTCTTCTCCTGGAAGAGCTTTGAAAATTTAACCAAGGGCTCTCAAGCACGTGGTCTCATTGGAGTCCACAGCAGCCCAGGCAGAGAGCAGGGCAGAGATGATTCATTCATTCACTGGACAAGTTTTAGGTGCTCTACTACATTCCAAGTGCTAGAGATATCTAGTTGAACAGGACAAAGTGCTTTGCCCTCAGTGAGCTGATATCCCATTGAGAAAGATGGACATCGCACAAGTAAGTAGACCAATAGGACCATTTCCATAGTGGCTGGTGCTAGGAAAGAAAGAGAACAGAGTGGGATAGACCTGATGGAGGAGATTGGGGCTATTTAATGAAGGGGGTCAGGGAACACCTGTGGGGAGGTGGTGGATTTGAGGCCGAACCTGAGTAATAATGACAACTACCGTATGACCATCCAGGGCATCCCCATTTTACAGATGAGAAGCCTGAGCCTAGGGGGAGGGGACTCAGCATGGCCAGGATCCACAGCGAGTAGCAGCAGAACTAGAAGGTACTTGGGGCCTGTAACTCAGGCCAGGCCAGGACCCCTGCCCCGGGGTTGTGCCACCCCCAGTCCTGAGGGCTGGATTCTGCTCTGTGGATAACGTGCTGTGTAATAATGTCTGGTCCACAGGTGAGCACAGGTAGAATTAGGGCTGGTGGGCTGTGGGGAGGCTGCAGGTGAGTGCAAGGCAGAAGCCCAGGCCCAGAGGGGAGACCTGTAGATGGGGAATGGGGCCCAGCCCCCCTGTGGCCAGAGCGGTGGGCCCGCCGCACACCCATGATGTGCCACACAGCTCTGCGCGCTGTGGCCACGGGACTGACTGTTTCAGCAGGACACGAGGCATCAACGTACTCTCAGGTCATGAGAAGTACTTCGAAGGGGGAAAAACCCAAACAGCGCGTGATGGCTTCGAGAGTGATGGGGTGGGCATGAGGGCTGAACTTTCGGAGAAGGGGACGTGTGGGGCGAGCTCTGAGGGGAGGAAGGAAGCATCTGAGTGCAGGTCTGCCGTGACCACGCAGAGGAACAGCAAGTAGGCTGGCCTAGGGGCCAAAGCATCCCCCTGACTTTTCTAGCCCCTCAGAATGCTGACCAGGCTAGCAGGAGCCCTTGGCCTCTCCATGCTGGGGTTCCCCATTTATCCCCCATCACCCCCACCTTGCTTAGAAGGCTGTTGGCTCCGCTGGTGAGTGTCTGCCATTGTAGCAGGAAGCCCAAGCAGAAGTGAGTGCTCAGGCCACCCAGGGCCTTCCACCGGCACAGGACAGCCAGAAGCCGGTCTCAGGGTCAGCCATCAGAAACCGGATGTCCATGTGCAGAAAATTCTGGGTGGCTGCCCAACGCAGCAGCTGGGGATCACTGAGAGCCTTCCCGGGGAGGAACGAGCAGTAGTTCAAGTACCTGCTGGCTGCATATGACTGGTGGCCTTGGTCACGAGTCTGACCATGAAGGATGAGGAGAGTGATGTGGCTTGGAGAGTGGGCTGAGCAGCCACGTCCCGAAGCTGAAGGCCTGGGGAACGGGATCCGTGTCCTCTCTCAGCAGGTGGAGCGTTCCGGGACTCCACAGTGTGCACTGTGCTCACACAGTGCGCAGCTGGTGGGGGATGTTTATGTAATCTGTCTGCTTGGCGGCTTGTATCTGCAAGCGCATCTGCTTATGGGTGGGTCATTTTGTCCGGGCCCATGTGTGAAAGTACGGCTGCTGGCTTCATCACGTATTTGTTGCCACTTTCCCGCCTTCTGGGCAGTGTCATTTGTAGGCAGTAGAGCAGCTGGGGGAGAGGTGGGCAGAGAGAGAGAGGGAGGGAGGGGCTTTGCCTGCGACTCCCCCATTCATTGTCACCCCACCCCTGGACTCATTGTCCCCAGCACACAGACACATCCTGTTGGCATGATCCAGAGATCTGATAGGAACCGCCATTCCAGGTTTCCGGTTTGAGTAATGGGGCTGGGGGCTGGGCAGGGGCTGAATAGGAACTGGTGCTGCCCATCAGATTATCTGGCTTAGGTAGTGTGAGGTGGCCCCACCCAGGCCCAGTGACAGAGGCCCGCAGGCCTGGAGGTGGGCCAAGGAGCCAAGAGACAGGAGGGGACCGTTGTCATGGTCATGTGGGTTCTGGTTCCAGTAGCCTCAGAGAGCCCCCTTGCCCCTCACGGAGCCTCAGGATTCATTCTGATCCATCTGGCTGGCCTAGCTTGGCGTCCTCTGGCCATTCAGAAAAGGAGGACGCATCGACCGATCCCCAGCAAAAGAACTGGCCTCTCTTTCTGGCAGGTGCACTGAAGTTCAGACTGCTTTCCTTCTCTCCCCGTCCACCCCCAGCTTTGTATGTTCTTGCTATGTGTCAGCAACTCTTTCTGGACCCAGTTTCCCTTCTCTTCTAGAAGGAGTGGAGATAGGTTAATTCTTGCATTTTTCCAATAAGATCCAAAAAGAATGGGGGAGTGTTGACCCTAGATATAGGAATGCTAGTGGGAGTTGGATGTCTTTCAATACCACATACAGAGGGATTTCATACACTTCAGTGTGATGTAAAAAAGTGAAGGACTCTAATTATTAAGCTCTTACTGTTTGTTGGATGGTCATGTGGCTAGTGGGTGGGTCAGGGCAGAACTGGGGCCTTGGGCATAAGCGTAAGCTTGGTTTAAGCTCAGTGTGAGGGTGTTAGAGATGTTTGATGGTTGATCAGCCTAATGAGCTGCTTAATGATGTGAGGGATGTCAGGGATGGGTGGGAGGAATTTTGGTCCAGCAGGAGATTTTTAGGCTGGGAGTGAAGCTGGAAAGAGATGTTCATGCTGACCATCAGGGGGCGCCAGAGAACCCCCAAACGGCCGTACTGGCTAGACGCAGCTCCTGGTTGAGTCCTACCTGCTCATTGTCCTTCCTACCTGGGGCTCCAGGCAGCGAGGAAGGACTGTGCTGGGGTGGAGACCCCGGGTTCCAGGAGGCCTAGGAGAGTGGTGGGGGGTGGGCTAGGCGGGGGCAGAAAAGAGACAGGGATGGCTCTGCTCTAGGACGGCTCTCCCGGCTGAAGCTGCCCCTCTCCCTGCCCCCAGGTACGTGCACTACTTCAGTGGCCTACTCTCTGGCTCCATCAAAATGAACAACAAGCCCTTGTTTCTGCACCACGTGATCATGCACGGCATCCCCAACTTCGAGTCTAAAGGAGGTACCTGCCCGAGCCCTCTGGCTTCCCTCCCCTCCCGTCTCCCATCTTTTCTCCTCAAGAGGCAGCCTGAGGGGATAAAAACATAGGCTTGGATTGGAGTCTCGACTGCGCCACCTCCTGAGCTTTCTTTGAGCCCCGGTCTCTTCGTGGGATCGGTTCTGGTGGTGCCTGCTGGCCCGTGATGTTGGATGCGGCAATGGGTTTTGTAAACCTAAAAATGCCTCTCAGATGAAAAGCTAGTATTTCTTCCTCCTTTCTCTTTTCATTTCTCCTTCCTACCTCTCCTCTCCGCAGCCCTTCCTTCCTTTCCCCTCTCCCCCATACCATCCGCACTAACACCACCCTCCCTTACAGGGTGTCGGCCCTTTCTCCGGATCTACCAGGCCATGCAGCCTGTCTACACGTCTGGCATCTAGTAGGTATTCCACGGGAATGAGAGGTCAGGGATGCCGGAGGCCCAAGGTCGAGGACCAGGGACAAGGGTGTGGGGGGATGGGCCAGGACCTCTTCTAGGAGGATCTCATCTGACAGAGGGCTGAAGGACAGAGGCAGCAAGCCTTCCCAGGAGCCCTCTGGCAGGGGGAGCAGGGAGCAAGCGCACTGCCCGCCCCCCGCAGCAGCTCTCTTTTTCTCCGCTCACCTCTCCCCGTAGCAATGTCCAAGGAGACAGCCAGACCAGCATCTGCATCACCATCGAGCCTGGACTGCTCTTGAAGGGAGACATCTTGGTAAGTGCTGCCCCTCTGTCTCAGGCCCCCTCCTCCCTTTATTTCTTCTGTCTTCCTGCTCTCCTCCTGCCTCCCCAGACAAGATTGTCACTCCTGTAGGCCACCAGCCTCCTGCAAGGCCTTCCTCTGCCTCAGAGCTGGACATCCCTTCTCCTGTGCTTGTCTCTTGTTCTAGAATATCTCCAGGGAAATATCTGCCATTGTGAGCTGTTACCTCCTTGCTTCCTATGGTGACAGGACTCCCTCAGTTCTAATTTCAGTCTTTCCTCCTGCAACTTAAATTCACTCCTACTTTTTCCATTCTGTGTGCAGGAACTTCTTGGGAGGACAGTTTTGTTCCCACAGGGTGAGATTGGCCTCCAACATTCTGCTTTCTAGAAGTTTCCCCAGATAGCTCTGAGATCCTATTTGGTATTGGTGACCTCTCCCTCATTAGGTTTGGGTGAGCCCTGGGGTCTCAGTCATGGAGCTAATAAGGAGGCTCCTTGAGACCTGATTTCCCCTCCTGGGGCCCCTGATGGGCTCTGCTCTCCTTCCCACCCAGCTGAAGTGCTACCACAAGAAGTTCCGGAGCCCCGCCCGAGATGTCATCTTCCGAGTGCAGTTCCACACCTGTGCCATCCATGACCTGGGGGTTGTCTTTGGGAAGGAAGATCTTGATGATGCCTTCAAAGGTGGGCTCATTGAATAGAGACATAGACCTAGCAAGGAATAATACCACAAGGTAGAAGAGCAATAATGGAGGACCTATGGCAACAGTGAAGGGGGAACCATTTTTTGAGGGAAGGAAATGTGGTTAGGGTGGGTGTCTCCCTTTGCTTCTTTATCTATTTAAGGTTTTGTCTGTATCACATTCAGACCTGGGACAATATCCACATCCATTCACCCATTCACTCATCCATCCATCCATCCATCCATCCACCTACTCATCCAAATCCATCCATTCATCCAACCATCCATTTATCCACTCACCCATCTGTCCACCCACCCATCCAAATCCATCTATCCATCCATCCAACCATCCATATCCATCCATTCATCCAAATCCATCCATCTATCCACCTACCCATCTGAACCCATCCACTCATCCATCCACCCATCCATCCAAATCCATCCATCCATCCACCAAGAAATACTTGTGGGTCTATGTGTGCCAGGCATGTGCTAGACCCTGGGGATACAAAGAGAAAGAAGTCAGGCCCTACCCTCAGGGAACTCACAGTTCCGTGGGAGAAAGAGACACATAAGCGGGGTACAATGAAGTGGTGCTTGCAGTGATGGAGACATGCACAGGCATGATGGGTGGCTACCATCCCTACTGTAACCTCTCTTCTCACAAGCAGTGGATGGCAATCTGTCCAGACTGGGCTTAGGCCAAGAGCAGAGAGTAGAGCTGGGGCTCGGGGGGTGGGGAGGGGGTGGAGAGGAGCCTGATCCCCCCAAATGTAGTCTGGCTCATGCAGTAGAAAGATGTTTCTGTGATGAGTTTCTTCTGTACTGGAGCCAGGAGGGCAGAAGCAGAAGATTCCATGATAATTACATAACAGAATGTAAATGTTATCAGTCTTAACAGGGAAAAATAAAGGGGTAACTGACAACATAAAGGTAGAGTTGGTAGAGGCAGGGGAAAGTGGGGGCACAAACTTTGTCCTCTTTCACGGAGGGAGTCAGGAGACACCACTGAAAATGGACAGCTCAAGAAATAGAGGCTTAGCTATAGTATTTAAAGTTTCAAAGGCAATCAGAATAAATACTACTACTACTACTAGATTTAATAAGAAAGGAGGTGGGAGTGATATTAGTGGGCCAAACTCATTATCTTCATGGTGGTCAATCAATGGAGATTACTTGAAATTGGTATATCAGGAAATGGTGGCATAAAAATAGTGGCTATTATTTAGAGTCTTAGAAGTAACTGCTAGTGGAACAAGAAATAGGAATGGTTGGGAATGGTTATCTCAGGCAAGTAGGACTGGGGCCAAAGGTGGGCAAGAGGCTTATTTCATTATATGTATATGATATTATCAACCACATATATGCATATTATTTTAATCTTCTCCAGAAAGATTAAAGTTGGAGTCCTTTTTGGGAATTGCTCATTTTTGTCTTTCCTTCTCCCTTTTCAGATGATAGATTTCCAGAATATGGCAAAGTAGAATTTGTATTTTCTTATGGACCAGAGAAAATTCAAGGTATAAGCTTGTTAGAGTTCATTTTTCCACCCCCTTGCCTCCATCCTAACCTGTCCTCTCCCCACCCCCAGCATTCTCCCACTGATGCGCTCTACAACTATCAAGTTACCTGTGAATGAGAGGCAGGCCAGCAGTAAAGGATCTGGGTATCACAGTGGACCTCCAGCTAACTGTGAACCAATGACTTATTCTTTGGATAATAAGAATAAAAGAGCTGACCAAGAGGTGCTGGGCTGGATAAACTGGTCCCATTAGGTCACCATCCCATTATATTCAGAGACTGGGGGCTGTGGCAGATTGAGGGAGTGGCTGAAGGGACATTCAGAGGTACTAGATGGATGAGAAGTATTTATGAAAACTGAGGTGGTTCAACCTGAAGATGAGAAGACCAATTTAATAATAGCTGTTAAGCCTTTAGACTGGTTATATGTGGAGACCAGTTGTTCTCCATCCTATTTGAGAATAGAATGAGATGAGACGAAGTTAGGCTACAGATGGAGGGACTCTGGGAAGATTCAAGGAAGGACTGCCAAATCAGGAAATGGACTTGCCCTAGGAGGCAGGACGTGCGGCTTGTGCGGTCTTCATTTTTCTGTGGATGTGTAGGAGAGACTGCTTCTCCCCTCAGATTTCTGCCTGGAGCCGGGAGCATCTTAAGTGGGAGGCAGGGGGATGGCTAGAATGACCTTGTGTCCTCTCAGTGTCCTGCCGTGATTTCCCTGTTGTCCTTGACCCCATGTTGCTCATCACAAACCTCTTCCACACTACCCCTGACTCCAGGGGCAGACTTTCTGGTCTCCTGGCACTGCCCCAGGGGCCTCTGGGACATGGAAAAAGAAGAGTCAGACATCTAGCCAGAGGGCCCCCCAGCTTTCTCCTTCTTTCCTCAGAGTCCTGTCTTGATTTACCCCTATAACCGGGACGAGCCTTTTCAAGAATGCAAGAAACCAGGGGCGCCTGGGTGGCTCAGTCAGTTGAGCGTCTGACTCTTGCTTTCAGCTCAGGTCATGATCTCAGGGTCGTGGGATTGAGCCCCGTGTCGGGCTCCGTGCTGGGCGTGGAGCCTGCCTGGGGGTCTCTCTCTCCTTCGCCCTCTGCTCTGCCTACCCCCACCATAAAACAAGACAAAAGACTGCAAGAAACCAGACTCCTGGGTTCTCTGTCCACTCTAAGCCCCTGGCTGCACCCCACCATGGTCAGGAAAATGAGAAGCCCCTCAGGGAGCAGCCATGGGGGAGCTGTTGGCTTCTTCTGTTTTTCCAGCTGTTGATCCTTTTCTTCCCCCCCTTTCTCTTCACTGCCCTCCCGCCCCATTCCTTCAGGCATGGAACACCTGGAGAACGGGCCGAGCGTGTCGGTGGACTATAACACCTCCGACCCCCTCATCCGCTGGGATTCCTACGACAACTTCGATGGGCATCGAGAGGACGGCCTGGAGGGTAGGTGGCACCCGGGCTTCCAGCTCCCCTCCACGCAGCACTGCCCTGTTCCCGTGGCCTCGGCACTGCTGGTGGGCTGTGGCACCGTATGGGGTTCAGAGAGGAGGCAGAGGACAGGTCCAGGGCACCTGGGAGAGCTCCCAGTTGGGTGGGGGACTATAGGACAAAACAGGAATGTATGAAATAATGAAGACAGAGCTAAAGAATGTAGCCAAACAGCCACAGTGACCTGACTGGCAGGGGAGGGGTTCTTGAGAGCTGGAGTGGCCTGGGAGGGCTCCTTGGAGGAGGGGGCCTTGAGTGGCATTTGACAAAACTCCCGTGCAGCAAACGCAGTGCTTTGTTAGATTTCTTTGAAACCTGCTCTTAGAGGTCTCCAGGCTCGTGGCCTGACTTCCCTGGGGTCAGAGCACTAGGACTTAGACACAGCATGCAGGGCCTACCAGCTTTCATCAATAGCCAACAAAAATGTTTGAGAGCTGGAAACCGATAGGCTCCAAAATTTGAAAAGTAAGCCGCAGCCGAAATTAATGCATGTTTAATTTAGCTACAAAACCTAGCATTATGTCAAGTGGGCAACTGCAACTCAGTTCAGTCCTTGAGAGTTAGTTGTGGGTTGTATTTGTTTGTGTGGTTGATTTGAATGTGGGAGGCGGGGCGGGGCTTCCAAAAGTTAGCATGCCTGGAGCCCAGGAGCCCTTGAGATGCCTGTCTGGGGTTTGGCATAGACTCGCTTTTCTGATTTGGTCCTGGGACTGCAGCATGTGGGAGCTGGAAGGATCCTCAGGACTGTAGGCCCGTCCCCCAGTCTTCCGTTGGGGATAACTTAGACCCCTCCCCCCCCTGGAAGGAAGGGTCTTCTGATTTACCCCCACGGCCAGCCCAGGATATGTCCTTTCAAGGACACCAGCTCCCAGCCTCCAGGCTGCAGCTGGTCCTAGGGTGGGGCTGTGCCGTCCCAGGGACTCTGGGCCCTGTGGCAGATCTGGGTTAGGGAGAGCCAGTCCTGCTGGCCCCCACCTTCTCCCGATCCTCTGCACCCCCCTGCCTCCTTCCACCTTCTTCTCCAGGGTTTTGGATTTGTTGACTCCACCCTGCAAGCCTTCTAGGTCTTTTCTTGAAAAAAGATTCTCCCTCTGACCTTTGAGGTACCAGAATGAGTGACAGATTTCAGAGCGAGTGGGATGCGGGCGGTGGTTGGGCTAGAATTTAGGGCTTGATGAGAGCATGTTGTTTACAGGCAGCACTGCAAAGTGGATGGCTTGTCCTCAAGCCTACCTCAGTTCCCGTCTTCCCCATCCTCCCCCCAGAGGCCCAGACACCCCACCCTGCTGAGGTACCACCCCAAGCACTCCTCCCCACTGCCCGGCCCCCTCTGCTGTGCTGAGTGGCTGGGAAAAGGGCAGAGGATGAAATGAATTAGTTCTGAGCTACCAGTGGCTGCCAGCCTAATTGTTCATCCTTCTGGGGATGTTTGCATTTTTAACAAGAGCACTTGGCAATTTGAAGGTATTTTCAATGTTTCCCCATCTCTCCCTGCCGTGGATTCTGTGCAATGGTAAATGTAAAAACCTTCCGTAAACTGTAAAGGGCCAGGCAAACAAAAGGTAAGCTAGTTAGGGGAAAGGAGAGGCTGGGGAAGGCCTGGTGGGGACACAGTGGCCATGAGGGAAGGCAAGGGGCAGACGGCGGAGCAGAGGGGGACCGCAGCAGTGAGAGGCAGGAATGGGGAGGAAGGAGAGGCTGAGTGAGCCCCCGACTCTTCTCTCTCGTCATCCCTTCCCCCAGGCAGGGGGACGGAACCAGTGGGACTTTGTGACCAGTGAAAGGTCAGCTCATCCTGCAGGGACAGAGGGGCTCCTGTCTAGAGGCTGAGAAGTCGGCCCTGTGCCTGAAGAGTGGGAAGGGAAGGCAGGGGAAGCAGAAGGAGGCTCTGCTGTCCTCTTCCCTGGCCCGGCCTGTCCTGACTACGGTTGGCCTGGACCGGGAGCTACGCGGTTGGGGTGGTCACCAGGACAGACCCTGCCTGTCCGCCGCCGCTGGGCTGCATCCCCCACAGGGACAGGAAAGCCAGCCGTGGGGTGGGAGCAGTGATCATTATTCCAATCCTGCTTTTCTTCCTGGCTGGAGGCACTTCTGGAAGGTTCTAGGTTCTGGGGCCCAGAGAGAAAAGCATTTTCTTCTGGCTAATTTTCTTGGTCCAGAGAGGGAAGTAGGAGGCCTGGGCCTGTCTCCTTAGTTGTGGACAAGACTCTGTGCCTCAGTTTCCCCATGTACTAGTTGGGGTAAGGGTAAGGGCACCTTCTGGGGTGCCCAGGAGATGGCTCCAGCTGGAGCCTGGAAGGTGCCTGGGGGCTCCCTGGAGTGGCCCTAGGGCTGGGGGGATGGGCTCTGTGGGTATGTGGTACCCCAGGTGGCTCTGCCTGCTCCCCGAGGAAGTCACGGACCGGGAGAGGCAGGCTAAGCCCGAGGTGCTGTAGTAGAGTGGGTGAGCACGCATGCTTGAGGCCTGACTGCCTGGGTCCGGTCCAGGTCCAGGTCTCAGATGCCCCCCTCTGTAACTGAAAGCCTTACTTAGCCTTCCTATGGTCTCAGTTTCCCATTTTCATGGAAAGCAGTTTAGGTAGGGGTCCAGAATGTGGCCTCTGGAGCCAAATTATCCGGGTTCAGATCCTCTGACAAGATGCTGTCCTCTCAGGGCCTTGGTTTGCTCTGCTGTGAAAGGGGGATTGGGTTGACAAATCATTTGGAGCACCTTCTGGGGAGTAGGAGCGGGGGCGGCGGCCTGTCGTGGCTCCTCAGGAGTCTCTGACACGTCAGTCGTGACTGTGGCCAGCATCTCAGGCGTCTGCAGACAAGGCTAAGGGGGGCGCCCATTGGCCTCGGGAGCCCGCTCTGGCTTTGCCACGCTTCAGCCATTGCGAGTCACCATTTCACCTAACGCTCACAGCTACTCTGTGCGGTGGGCACTGTTATCGTGCCTGGGTAGGGAAACTGGGGCACAGTGGGGTTCAGTAACCTGTGTAAGGTTGTCTCGCCAATAAAGAGCAGATCTGGGTGTGGAACCCAGCGCTAACCACCGTGCTGTTTTGGTAACCACAGATGCCTGTATTCCGGGCGCCAGGTCCCGTGACACTCCCTGGGTGCCACTGAGCTTGGATGAATCTGTCCCCTCCGTCCCCACCTCTCACCTCTGGGCCGACCAGAGGACCCCTGTCCTGAGCCTCAGGGTGAGGGAGGGGTTGGATGCAGCGGTACCTGGAGCGTAGCAGCTGGGAGGGCACCGGGCTGGCCCCGCGGCAGGTGCTTAGCTGGGCTTCAGTGCAGGGAAGAGCTGAGGCGCATCCCTTGAGGTCTCTACACTGCCCCCCTCCCCCACCCAGGAGGGTGTGGGGCTGCTCACAGTGCGATGCCCTGGTGAGGGGATGGCCTCGCAAAATAGGGAGGGGTGGTGTGTCTGAGGTGAGGTGAGGCCATTTCTGGAAGTGGCACACCTCTCCTATTTCAGGCCCGGTGAGGGAGGGGGATAGGAGAGGCCAGGCCAGTCCCTCTGGAGGCCCCCGGGTGACTCACAGGGGAAGGCAGGGGGCGCTGAGCCAGGCACTGGGGAACAGAGAAAGATTATCTCTGGCCTGGGCTGCTCCTCGAGGGCCCCCTGCTTGCGGTGAGGGCCGTCAGCCCTCTACCCCCTGTTCCTCCTGCTCCTGCAGGAGACCCTGACTTAACCCTTTGTGCCGGGAACTACTCTGTGTTTAACCCCTTCCTTGATGCCTGCACCCCCGTCTCCCTCCAGCCCCCCCATTCCCAGTTCAAGTTTCCACCCCCTCACGACATCGCTGAGCGATCTCGGCAGCAAAATTAGGGAAGAAAATCCATGGGACTTCTGTTCTCTGGGGTGGTCCGGGCCAGTCATGGAGCCTGTCTGATGCCCCACTGCCACGGTGAGGCCCTGAGGCTCGAGAGGCTGGGGATCTGCCAGAGGGGGAGGAAACCCTCACGCGTGGAGCCCCACTTTGCGTGACCTCCACTCTTGTTGTACTGACCCCATTGTGCCGATGGGTGTCGTGCTGGGGGGGAGGTCATGACATAGGACATGGGGTTGCTGTTGAATCCAGGGGTCTGACTCTGGTCCCTTCCCACCTCCCTTGGAGCTCAGCATATTCAGCGCTCCACACCCGTAATTCGGGTGGTCCTTGCAGATGCTTGTCCAACTTGTCACACCTTTAGAGGGCAGAGAGCTCACCACCACACGCGGCAGGCCGTTTCACTTTGTACAGGTCCAGTAATTGAACCAGAAATAGAGGGAAAAGGGAGAGTTGCCTGTGTGTGGTGGACCATGGATGCTCAGGGACCCGTATTGCTCCCTGCACTCAGGCCAGAAGGAAGGGGAAGTGATAAAAGGTAAAGAATCAGACAGAAGCTCAATATCAAGAACTTTCTGACTGGAGAAGAGTCCAGGCCTTGGGACATGTGTCTGGGGAGCAGGGAAAGCACCTGCCATCTCCGGGACTCCTTACGTCGGGAGGAGCACCGTCTGGTGAACCCCACAGGCTGGTGTCTGAGTCTGTGTGGGCGGTCACAACAAAATCCCACAGACTGTGCGGCTTCAATAGCAGACAGGCATGTTTCCACAGTTCTGGAGGCCAGAAGTCTGGGAGCACAGTGTCAACAGCCCTTGTAGAGGGTGGGACTTGTAGAGGGCGGGCTTCTCCCTTGCCTCCATCCTCCCTCTGTGTGTGTCTGGGTCCTGATCCCTTCTTTATAAGGACACCAGTCAGGCGGGACTGAGGGCCCACTCATGCAACCACGTTTTAACTTAATTACCTCTTTAAAGGCCCTATTTCCAAATACAGTCCCATTTCTGAGGTACTGGGGGTTAGGACTTCAACATATGAACTTGGCGGGGAAACACGTCAGCCCATGACACCGAGGAAGGAGTTTTCTGGGTTGCCTGTAGTTGGATGCCTGGAGCCTTGGTCCTGAGTTGGGGGAGGGGGGGA